CTGCCTGCTGACATAATTTTTCAAAGTCTGTTACATTTATATTTAACAAGTATTAAACAACTACAAAGATTGCAGAGTACCACTAATTTTTTTGAAAGGTAGGTAAATGTATATGGCCTTGTGTGTGAACAAAACAAAATTTCCCTGACAGCATAACATACTTTTTCACAAGTCTGTCTTCAAAATTTAAATAGTATCAAAATACAGGCTATATAAATACATTAATGTAGTTTTTCATATAATCTTCTTCATCCATTAAAATGTGAGTTTGACTTACAGTACTCATGTACATAAAGCCTAAGCTGACATTTTAATATGACAGCAATGTTTTGGCCTCCTCTTTTTGAATCAGTCACAGATGTCACTAGTTGAAATCACTAATGGTAAAGTAACAATGAAGAAATGCCCAGTTCGTAGCTAAACAATATTTTCATATTGACTATTAAAAATGAAAACCCTGAAAATAATGAAACATTTTTTTAAGATTCTGTAAAAATCTAGCGATATTATTCAACAAATATTTAGTGATAATTTCAATGGTGCAGCAGTTAATGAAACAAATAAGAACCCCTGCTTTCATGTTTACTATGTTTCAGTATAAATATGCAGACAATAAATAAATAAATCAGTGGCAATGTATAGTATTTTACATGGTGATAATCCTATGAAAAAGATAAAAGGCATGAAAAGAAGAATAGGAATTTCCAGGGTCCAGGGGTGCTGAAACTATTTATTTCCTTTTAAACCAGATACAGGCTTATAAAAACAGCCAACTAGTATTTTAGGAAGGAAAAAAAGATAATGGTTGAAGGTTATGCTTTTAAACTAAGTGTAATAAATGACATAAATATTCAAATAATTTAATTTTAGAAAATTCCTTACCTCTTAACTTAAAAAAAACAAAAGTTATCCAGTAAGGACACAATTAGATAATTTTAGTTATGCTAAAGTTTACATTTGAATAAAACACTCTCTGTGAAAAATGTACTAACCTTAATCTCAACTTTACAAAGGTTGTTACAGATATCAATGTTGTCTCCATTTAGATTTATTCTAAACAGTAGAAAGAATTGTTAAAAATTATCAGTAAGGAAAAAAATTAGTTTGGGAGGGTGTCATTTTAAATTTAAGAATTAAATATCTAAAACAAATTTGGGATTAGGATTCTTGGTACTTTTATCTTTTCTGGTAATGTTAAAAAAATGCTATTATCAATATATTCCATTACTGAATCTGGAATTCATGAAATGAAAATAAATGTTGGAATCTTCATTATGAAATCATTTTTAGATGATATGCCTTGTACAAAGTCTCAAGTATCTTTTTTAAATGTTCCCTTTGAAAACTAAACATATGAAATATATATAAAAATAAGAAACCCCTTCTTAGAAAATTAGAAATTACATTTGTTTTTCTCTTATCATTTTCAACGCTATTTATAAAATATAAATTTAAACTTGTATTTTCCCCATTATAAATTATTTTGCAGTCATAAACCAAATCAGTTTTGGTAAATCATACTAAGTTAACATTAATAAAGAGGCGACTGTACTCCACACTCAAAGCCACTGGCTCAGGGGGCCCTAAAAAGATGAGCAGTCAGGACTGCAGGTCTCCTGCTCACCACTAAGTCAAAACATCTCCATTTTATAACATATTGGGCTTATACATAAAGGGCTGTTTAAAAATATACATTTCATAGCTTTAAAAAATTCTGAAAACCACTGATCAAGGAAACAGAAATCTACCAGAAAGGGCCTTATACATTTGTTAATGATTCTTCTCCAGTGAGAAACTGGCTAGTTAGAGAGCACTTAAGTCATAAATCTTTTTTTTCCCCCTATTATTTTATAAAGATATTTTGGGGCACATTTTATCTAATTTCTGATCATTCTACTTGATACAAGATTTTTAAAACAGTAATTAAAACACTAAGCTGACAAAAGTTGTTTGAATTAATGTTGATTAAAACAAAAGTTTAAAACAAGTTTTCAGTTCAGTTCAAAACAAAACGTTTGAGTTCCAAAACCAAAACAAATTTTGTGATTGGGTATTTCGTTTAAAAGCAAACAGTCAGACAAAAGTCATGAAATGTTTAAGTTTGGAGGAAGACAGAGAGAGAGAGGGGTGGAAAACACCAGCTGAGGATTGACAAAGATAGGATTGGGGGATAAAAGAAATGGTCAAATATTTTCTAAGAAAAAGGGAACAGAATGAACAAAGGGATAAAATAAAGAACTGTTTCTAAGGAATGAGAAATATCTCAGTTTGGCTGGGAAATAGATAATAGGCAATAAAAAGAAATATGATTGTGAATTTAGGTTGTAGTCAGGTAATAAAAGGTTCTCAACACCAGAGAAAGGACTTTTTTTCAGTGAAAAATAAGAAAGCAGAGGCATACTTTATTAGGCATCACTTTATTGTGCTTTACAGATATTTTGTTTTTAACAAATTGAAAGTTTGTGGCAACCCAGCATCCAGCAAGTCAATGGATGCCCTTTTTCCAGCAGCATGTGTTCACTTCCCTGTCTCAGTGTCGCATTCTCATAATTCTTGCAATATTTCAAACCTTTTCATTATTATTACATCTGTTATAATAATCTGTAATCAGCCGTCTTTGATGTTACTATTGTAATTATTTGGGGCGTGCTATAAACTGCACCCATATAAGACAGTGAACTTAATACATAAATGTGTGTGTTCTGACTACTCCACTGGCTGGCTGTTCCCCTGTCTCTCTTCCTATTCCCAAAGATACACAACATTAAAATCAACAAATCTACCATAGCCTTTAAGTGGCCAAGTGAAAGGAAGAGTTGCACATCTTTTATGTTCAATCAAAAGCAAGAAATGATTATGGTCAGTGAGGAAGGCATGTTAAAAGCCAAGTTGGGCTGAAAGCTAGGCCTCTTGCACCAAACAGCCAAGTTGTAAAAGCAAAGGAAAAAATCTTGAAGAAAATTAAAAGTGTTACACCAGTGAACACATGAATGATAAGACAGCGAAACAGTTTTATTGCTGATACGGAGAAGATTTTAGTGGTCTGGACAGTTCAAACCAGCCATAAAATTTCCCTTCAATTCTGTGAAGGCTGAGAGAGGTGAGGAAGCTATAGAAAAAAAGCTGGAAGCTAGCAGAGGTCGGTTCATGACATTTAAGGAAAGAAGCTGTCTCCACAACATAAAAGTGAAAGGTGAAGCAATAAGTGCTGATATAGATGCTGCAAAACATTATCTAGAAGATCTAGCTAAGATCATTGATGAAGGTGGCTACACTAACCAACAGATTTTCAATGTAGATAAAACCACCTTATATTGAAAGATGTCTTCTAAGACTTTCATAGCAAGAAAAGTCAATACCTGGCTTTAAGCTTCAAAGGACAGGTTGACTCTATTGTTACGAGGCTGATGCAGCTGGTGACTAAGTTGAAATCAATGCTCATTTACCATTCTGAAAATTCTAGGGCCCCCAAGATTTATGCTAAATCTACTCTGCCTGTGCTCTATAATTGGAACAAAGCCTGGAAGACAGCACATCTGTTTGTAGCATGGTTTACTGAATATTTTAAGCCCACTGTTGAAACCTACTGCTAAGAAGAAAATTATTTCTTTCAAAATATTACTGATCATTGACAATGCACCTGATCACCCAAGAGCTCTGAGGGAGATGTAGCAGAAGATTATGTTGCTTTCATGCCTGAATTCTGGAGCCCATGGATCAAAAAGTAATTTCAACTTTTAAGTCTTAAGAAATATATTTCATAAGGCTATAGCTGCCATAGATAATGATTCTTCTGATGGATCTGGGCTAAGTTAAATTTAAAACCTTCTGGAAATAATTCACCATTCCAGATGCTGTTAAGAACATTTGTGATTCATGAAAGAAGGTGAAAATATCAACATTAATAGGAGTTTGGAAGAAGTTGATTCCAGCCATCATGGATGAGTTTAAGACTTCAGTGGAGGAAAAAACCTAGAATTAGAAGTGGAGCCTGAAGATTTGACTGAATTGCTGCAATCTCATGATAAAACTTGAATGAATGAGAAGTTGCTTCTTATAAATGAGCAAAGATGTGGTTTCTTGAGAGGGAACGCACTGCTGGTGAAGATGCTGTGACCACTGTTGAAAAGGTAACAAGGGATTCAGAATATGATATAAACTTAGTTGATAAAGCAGCAGCAGGGTTTATGAGGATTGACTTCAATATGAAAAATTCTACTGTGAGAGTCTTTTGTGAAGAGTCAATTGATGCAGCAAATTTCATTGCCTTATTTTAAGAAATTGCCACAGCCATCCCAACTGTTAGCAACCACCAGCCTGGTCAGCAGCCATCAACACTGAGGCAAGATCCTCAGTCACTAAAAAGACGACGACCCACTGAAGGCTCAGATGATCATTAGAATTTTTAGCAGTATTTTAAAAAATTTTTGTTTTTTTGTAGACAGAGTCTCATTGTGTCACACAGGTTGGAGTGGAGTGGTGGATTATAGCTCACTATAACTTTCAACTTCTGGGCTCAAGTGGACTTCCTGTCTCAGCTTCCTGAGTAGCTAGGATTATAGGCATGAGGGCTAATTATTTTTTTTTTAGAGACAGTCTTGCTATGTTGCCCATTCTGGTCTTGAACTCTTGGCCTGAAGCAATTCTTCCACCCCAGCCTCCCCAAACAATAAATTATTTATTAAGGTATGTGCATTGTGTTTTCAGACATAATGCTATTGCACACTTAATAGACTGTAGTATGGTATAAATATAACTTCGTGTGCACTGGGAAAACAAACAGCAGCAGAGATTTCAAGTATGAGATAGATTCCAGATATATGACAGAGGTAAATGGATAAAATTTGAAGACTGGAAATTAATTGGATGAAGAGAAATCAAAGATGATGCTAACATGGAGTTCAGGAAAGGACCAAGGATTTAAGCTTAAAGCTAAGACTTTCAGTATCTACACTGATTTGTTTATGTCAAGGGAATTTCAAAAGCATAACCAAAATACATGAGTGATACAAATTTTATTTTTCATGCTAAAATGTTTACAAATTTTATTGTGTCATACACAATTACAAGAGTGACAGTTACAACTGAATTAAAAAAATAGCATTTGGGGGCATTTCTATTTGCTACTATCATGTTTTGTTACATGGTGTGTTTTGTTACATGAATAGCAACCATGGTTATAATTACAGAACTGCTTAGTTCATAAATTTAATAAATGTGTCATGATGGAGGCTACTACATAATATAAACAAAGACTAAGTGCCCAAACATATTCTCACATTTTATATTATTCTTTATTCTACAATTAGAATCAGTGGTTAGAATCTAGTAACACCATCATTCAAGTATCTGACCAAGTGGGTCAAGTGAGCAAGCATTTCAAATCATTTCCCAAAATCTTTTTTAGTTTAGTTCTGAAGGAAAATATAAGACAAAACACACAAGGCATGGCTGGCATGATATTTTATGCCTAAAACCAACCATTAGATAAGGAAATCTGCATCTTTTGCAACTTGGCATTTGTTTCATCTCACATAATTAAAAAATGAAAGTACTGACAGCACTTAGAATCACCCAACTACAGCAGCTATAGTATCTCCCAGACTTCTAGTTTCTAAAATTCTGGGGGGAGTGGGACAATTTTAACGGTAACAGTCTACATGGTAGTAATATTACCTTTTGGCCATTGGCCCAATACTAATCCTTTTTGTTTTTTAGTATACAAAATATGCTGAAAACATTTCTCTTAAACACATTTCAATTAATGTAATTAAACAGATGGCAACAACTTCCTTCTAGAAGAGCTAGTTTTGCTATGAAAAATTTGCCATATACTTGTTAAATTAATTTATAGAATATTTTTAGGGTCAAATACAGATCATGCTATATTCTCTAATTGAGAACCTGTGTTAAACACTTGTAAAAGGAACTACAAACATAATCACATTAGTTTAAAAAAATGGAAATTACTATTTTATTCTTATAACTTTGCATCACTTAATTTTATTCAAATTAATGATAAATTTCAAAAAATCTATGGTAAAACTTATATTCTAAGCACAAAAATACATAAATTTTAGTTCTAATCAGAAATTTCCACTGACAAGTGAAAATTTTTACTTTGAAATAAGTAGATCTGGGATATAGAAGTTAATTTTTGATCTGAGCATGTCACAAATATATTTTGTTTTAATGTAAAAATAATTTTTAAAGAAATAACATGTAAAGTCTTTTACCCCACCATCTGAAACACACAATATTTTTTCCTTAAAATAGTTTAAAATAAACATCTCATTTAAAATCTGATTTTACAAAAAAGAGAGAAATAAAACTAATTACTCTTATACGTACTTGAGCCAAGTAGTTGTTGCTTCCAGATATTGTGAGCTAAAAATCATTACCTGATAACATTATAAGTAACCTTTTGCTTATAACCTAATAACTTGAAATTCAATTGATATTGCTTATCAAAGAAGACTGATATATATTTGTAAATTTAAAAATTTACATCTTTTAAAAAGTACCTAACAATTTTCTTAAATAAAATATAATTATATAAAGAACTATTTATTCTAAGAATTTAAAAAAACAAATAAACAAAATGGGGGGAGTGCAGGAGAGTTGGGGACATATTCTCCAATGAAATATCCAGAATTATTAGTAATAATAAGGCTCAGAACCACAAAGGATTCACGAGGCTAAAGTTTCAAGTCTACTAATATATTACTTTTATTGTGTTTTGACAGTCATCTCCTATGGATTGCATTCCCATTTCCAAACTATAAATCCGATCTGGAGTTATATTTTCTTGTCATGATTTTTTTTTTAGAGAAAATAATTAACTCATTGACCAAAACAAACAAAAAAGACACAGAAAAACGGCACACAAGTCATTTAAATGTTATGTACTATAATATAGTCATTTAACAATTTCAAGCAATTTCTCTGGAATCTAATATTTTCATACTCTTATTTCAAATCTCAAATATATCTATATTATTCATAAGTAATTTACTCTGACAATACATCAGTCTTATCTTTATTGGAATCAAGGAGTACTAAATTTTAGAAGAAAAATTAAGCTATAGATTATGCTCCAAAGCATTTTACAAGTGTTCATTCCCCACTTAAAATATTTCAGATAGCAACTTAAAGCTGCCAAAATCTTAGTCCATCAATATGGTTTTGATTGTCACTATTTTTAGCTATGCAAATTTTTCTTCTTTTAATCAGACTAACCTGAGTCAGCTGGGCTTTCCAATGGACATTTTAAATGACAGAGTACAGATATGGGAGGCAGAAAAACTAGATCTGTGTCCAATTAAACTATTTACTAAATATGTGATCTTCAGCAGTCCTTCAACTTCTCCATGCCTCTCCTTACTCTTCTTAAAGATGAGGATCCTATTACTCTCCTTTGACTGACTCCTCCTACGACTATAGGAAATCATGTAAGAAAAACATGAAAGAACTCTAAGAAGGGCCAACATGCTATAAATGCTATCAATGCACAGAGGCTTGTTACAGTACTGGATTGGTTAGAATGACCAGTCTGTAACGGTGTAACTTAAAAACAAGTCATTCTGGGATGTATCAGAAAAAAATTTTTAACATCTTTATCATGTCCTCTGGATAAAGTTTGAGAGCAATTTTAAAAAATATATTGACACTTACCCTATTCCCATGTAAGAAATCGCATTGGGCATTGACCTAAGACAAACTAAAAGCTTCATTCATTCTTCCCAGATTTTTTATGGCTATACTTCTGCTTCACCTGAATGCGTTTGTACGGTTTTATTAATTTGCGGCCTGTTTTGTTCTGGCAGTTACTTAACTCTGATACTCACAGGTAATCCTTATTTCTCTTTTGCTATTTTTTAATTTGTTTTAAATTCTAGCTTTTTTCTGACTCAAACTCCACTGAACCTAGATATAATAAAGTATTCTGAATTTAAAAGATAAAGATTTGAGTCACTAAATGTTCCTTCCATTTTCCTATCACTTCAAGAGATACTGTGCATACACTATAACAGGATGTAAGATTCACAAACTATAAGAAAAAATCTGTTTAATTTATACAATGTAATTTCCCAAGGTTAAAAGACACAAAGCAGGAAAAGTAAATAAGGGTTGATTTTTGTATGAGGCCTATCTAACTGATGATTTTCAAGAAATGAATGGTGATTTTGAAGTAAATGGAACATGAGGATAGGGTGGGAACAAAATAGAAACTATATGATCAAATTTAACACACAGAGTCATTGAAGTACTGCATCTCTAGGTCACTAGCTAAATAAACCAGATTAGGGAACTGGTCAGGTATGGAGAAACAGATTTGGAAGCCCTACTATAGATACAGGTGATTTTTGAAGTCACAGGATTAGAAAATTTGGGAGAAATGGGGGCCTAAATCATACACAGACACAGATGATGTCAAAATGAGAAAATGATAGGAAATGAAAATGATTTGAAAAATACAAAATTAATATATTAGAGAAGTGTACAGTTTTAATGAGAATGGTCATAGTCAGGAAAACACAGCAGAGGAAAAATGAAAATAAAGATTGGTTTTGACAAGAAAGTCCACAATGAATTTAAAAGGGTGATTTGGGTTTAATAGTAAGGATGGCTGAGTTAGCAATGGATTAAGAGTTTTCACTCAGGAAAACTTAGAGAAAATAATATGAAAGCTAAGAAGACCTGAGTGTGTTTAAAAGCAAAATTGAAAAATTAAATAAAGTTTATGTTTTACAGTTGAGAGAGTCAAACTAATAAATAGGCTGTTTCAGACCTAAGTTAGGCACTTTGGGGGTGGGGAAAGGGAAACTTGATTTCTGTCACTAGAAAACAGAAGGAAATTAACCTCAACCCACTTACTTTTTTGGTATCATACTTAGCCCCTATACTTTGTGGTATATATTTAAAAGGTCCTTAGAAATTGGTAAGTGAAAATGCTAAAAAAGATCAAAAATGGGAAATGGTATTGAAAATATAAAACAGCTAAGTGAATAAGTCAATAATCCATTTTGAAAACAATTTTAAATAAAATTAAAACAAAAACTAGACTTTAAAAATATAACTGCTAGAGGCATCATATCCATATGATATGCAAAGTGATTACATTTTTATATAGGTTTTTTTTCGGTATAGCCACCATCATTTAACGACAGGATTTCTTGAATAATTCTATCAAAGAAATACTTTCCTCCTGTAAAACATTCGTAAATTTGATTAAGTAGGTCCCTAATAGTTGTTAGTTTCATACCATTATTTAGTATGAAAAGCAACATAAGAAAATGGAGAATCAAAATATTTTATTTCAAATCTATTTTATGCCAGATCTAACATGTAATTGGAACCTATTCCCATTCTATGAGTTTCTGAATTTCATTTTTCTATTTTATTTCTTTTTATGAGCAACTTGCTTTAATTTTGAATCAGTACCATTTTATTTGACATTTATTAAAGCTGTATAAAAGCCATGCACAGTTTATTTATTTACAATATTATACATTAGATGACTGTTTGAAGATCACACAAAAAGTCCACAAAAGTATAACTAATATGGAAAAACATGAAACACATTATTTAAGGGCTTTTAAAAATTTTAGTTATGGAATTTTTCAAAGATTATTTTGGTTATAAGTGTTATACAACCACTAGCTTGAAATAAGACTGACAAAAACATGCAAATAAGAATTTCAATAAATGAAAAGCTAAAAACATTTAGCTAAAAGCTAAAATATCATGTAGTTGAAATACTACTATGTAACAATGGGAATTTATAAAACAGGAAAAAAAGGTCATTCTTTAAAAGTCTTCCATGAATAATAGGGCTTTCAGTAATTTTCTATAAAAACATTCAGAAATAACGTTTCTCAAATTATGTTCATCACTAAAATTATGTTTTCAGTAATGATTAGAACTATGATTTTCAAGTAATTGTTTATTTTACTATAGGGGAAATCTCAGTTTTTCTCCCTTGGAGATAAGGGGTAGAAGAAAATCAATCAGTAAATTTAGATTCAAGTAAAAGATCCTTGTACAAATATATCATTAACACTGAGTGGAGATTTTTTATAAGTCCACATTTAACTGTACTCTTAAAATAGAAGTGTAAACTTTAGGTTTGTTCAATTTAAGATCTCCTATTAGGAAACAACAACTCTTTACGAGTATGGAAAATATCAATAGATATTTGTTCTCCTCTAGATGTACCTCTTTCAGTTTTTACTCTTGTGGCTGAAGTACATTTAGATATTCAGACTGCCCCAACTGGTAAGTTGTGTTCCTTCCACAGTCAACATATTGGTACCTCTCCTGGGATATCTGTTCAGAGTGGCCAAAGTATGTTGTTGTCACAGTTACCCTAAAGACAAAATAAGTGGGAAGAAATATTTAATAACTATATTAAAAGATTTTCTACAGTGAGACTACTTTTACACATGAAAATTCTATTCAAGGAGAGATTATTTGATTAATGGATAACTTAATACAGTGGACACAGTCCTCTAAGGGAATGTTTTCCCAACAGACAACAAAAATGCTAGCTGAGCAAGCTCTATCCAAATAATTATATACAATAAACATAATTTTTAAGAACGGCTATCTTTAGTTAAAAATATAACAGTTCATCATATGCTTAAAATTAAATATACAGTTCTCTCATTATAGCAAAAAGGTTAATCAAATGTCAGCTAACAGCCCAAATACCAAATCTATAATCAATAATATTTTATTGGCTTAGATAATACCCAATTTATATGCCCATAAGGAATTGATGTTGTGCTCAGTCCTCTCTATCTCAATCCTTGGCATTTTCCTGAGCTCTTGTCATGTCTACATTCACTATTCAGTAGTCATGTCATCCTACACTACTTCTCTAGGAAACCATTTCCTAATTTGTAAAGTGGGATAATAGTTACTTGACCTTACTGCACTCTTGTAAGGCTTAAAACCCAATTGAGATGGTATTTGTAGAGATGTCATGTATACTGTAAGACAACAGTTATAAACCTAAAATTCTTAAGAAGAAATAGCTTTTTTAGAAAAAATTCATACTTACTGCATCATGAGCACTATGTTATGTACTTTGATGGATAGCAGTGTACAGAAATCACTGTTAAAGAAATTAAAATGTAAATAAATATAAGTGACTAATTTAAAATTCTTCTTATATTAAAGCTAATAGACACTATTAAAATATGTAATAAACAAACATTTATTGGTTGAGCATTTACTATACTTCAAATAATGACTGATATATTCATGACTTATTCTAAAAATATGTATGTGTTCATACCATTGCAGTTGTAGGGTTGCCTTAACATGAGCTACAGATTACTTATACATTTTGCTCACCTTTTGAAATTTTGGTAAACAGTTTGCTAGTATCAAGAAGTTCTATTATTTTACCTATTGAGAATTAATAATCATTTAGACCCAAGTTAAAAACTTCAGGATTTTAAAACAACACAGTATACATTATTAGCACTTTTAGTTTTCCTACACTAAAATTCAGCAAATACAAGAATATATGAGAACATGCTTCTTATAATATAGTAACTAAAAGTAAAAAGTGATGTGGTATATATGATCCTAATTATGAAAAATAAAAAAATAAATTTTATGTGTACAAGTATATGTACATAAAGTTATATATGTTGAAAAAGAGAAAAGAACAGAGATGATCAGGGGCTAGAAGGAATATTCCATAATGTAGTCTTTTTGACTGATAAGATTACAGAAAATAAAAAAAAAACATTCTTTATACTTTATTTTATATACTTTATTGTTTAATAAAAAGTTATTAAGAATTAGAACTTACAACATGTAACTCATTTCCTCTGCTATAACAGTAGGTACTGTGTAGTCGATCTGAAAGGCAAAAAAAAGAACAAAGATAAATAATAGAGAATAGGATCAAAACATTCAAATATTTCAGATATACCTCATAATTTCAAAGAGTTAGAAAACTCTCCCTTTAGAAGCTTGATTCTACAATTCCATCTTATATATATGGGACACATTCCAAAATTAAATTTTTGAGGAAATATTCCACCCCCTCAAGTTACATGACATGCAAAATTGAGACTCATTTACTTCTCCCAAGTATTTCATGACTGAGACTTACTTGTTTCATATCAAGTGGACCAATATTGGTTAGGTTGTTTAAGCGTGCCTTTCCAATAACTGTTTTTGAAAACTGAACTTGAGCAGTGATGTTTTCAACTTCAACAGAATAATAGTTATTGTTTGTAATATTTAGAGTATTCTACAAAAGAAAGAAGGCAGAAAAATATATAAGGTTAGCTAAAAATAAGCATACAAATATTATTCATAATTAATATAGAAAATGACTTCAGCTATAGCTATGCTTCATTTATTAAGAGAAAGAAAAGTATTGCCAAAATGTCAACATTAAATGAACCAGTTAATTGGGTTTATGCATGAGCACTATGTATATAATACATCTGCAGTAAATAAACAATTCAAAATAAAAAAAACCCTAAAAAATGTATATAGTATAGGAATATGGAAAACTGAATGTTAGAAAATGTATTTGTGACAGTTAGCAAGAGTTCAATAAAAACAATTTTCGAATTTCATCTAAATTTTTATTAACTCTTAATATATACTTCTTCATAAACTATACTAGTAAGCTGTTTCCTATTAAATAAAAGATGACCTTTTAAAATGCTAAACAGTACTTAAAATAAGCTTTTTGTTTAAAGGAAATTGTTATTTTAACTCGTATACTAGTAGAGATTTATACGAGGTCACTATGGAAAAGAAATGAGACAGATTAAAATCTGTTTGATTAGAGAGAAATGTGGTTGCATCATTCCTATACTTAAGTAACAGCTGGGCTCAGCTTCTGCATTTCTAATTCACTTTTGTTTCATATTACTCTAGAAAACAGTCAATAAAAAATAAGAAAAATATTAAATCTAGAAATAAAAAATCTAAAAATTACAGCAAAAGATATCATAAATAATATCAACAGACACTAAAGGATATATAGTAGAAATATTTGTAAGACAGATAGCAATGGTTATCATCTATAATACATAAAAAGCCCTTATAAATTGAAAAGAAAAAGAGAAAGCTATAATAGGAAACAAAATAAAGAGCAAAGGATATGCATGAACAAGTCAAAAAAGTATAAATTTAAATGGTCAAGAAATATTTTTAAATTCTCATATTCATTTATAGTCAGGAAAAGGTTAATTTAAGTAAAAATGAAATATTGTTTCTCATCCCTCAAACTAGTAAAATTTGTAGAAAGCAAACAAATTCCATTCCTGGCAGGGATGTGGTGAAGGGTATATTTTTACACTGCTGGTAAATATGTGAAGTGTCACAACCATTTTGATAAGTAATCTCATGACATACACTAAAATAAAAATGATAGCTTTTAACCTAGCAATCTTACTTCTGAGCATCTATTCCACAGAAATAGAAATATTAGGATGTTAATGACAGTATTCTTTATAGTGGCAAAACATATACCGTGAAAATAAAATAAATGCCTATCCATAAAAAGAATGACTGAATAAACTGTATTAAGTCCTTACATAGACTATTATGCAGCCATCAAAAGAATGGATTAACTCCTCAAACAGATAATTAGGAAAGATTTCTACAAGGTATTAACAAATGAGAAAATCAAAATATGTAAAAATATGTACAAAATATTTTTTTTAAATATTGATTTTTATAAAGCTGAACACGTATGTACCTATATAAGTTAATATGAATATGGAACAAGACATGAAAAGAAGATACAACATGGGATGAGTGGAAAAGAGAAAACAGTTTTACTATAGAGGGATAAAAAAGACATGCTGGAGATCAGCAATTATACGATCACACTTACACAGTTATTTACATTAATTATAGTTATAAATGTAAAGAAATATTTTTTAAAATTCCCTAATAAAGTAGAAATCACCTTTATCTACCTAGATATAAATTTTGTCTATTTGATTCTTAATATTCATGTCAATTTCTAGAAATGATAGGAAAGAAACTGTTAATTTGAAGTCAATGGATCTTCTGATGCAGACCAAGGAATGGGATTTATGAAAATCTTGCAACCCTCTGCATATGCAAAATACTGTTGGTAAATGTCTTTTTTTGACCTGTCCAGAACTTTCATTAGAATAATAACGGGATCAATGATACAAAGAGGTTGAGAACAAAAATACTTATGAGAATTAAAAAAAGATACACTGAGAGAAAGGAAATACAAAGATAAATATTCAGAAAGACAAAGAAAAAATAAGATAGGATAAATAAAATATTTTGTACTAAAGGTCAGGCATTCTGCTGTTGAGAGGAGAAAGAATCCATTTAATTTATAAGACAAAAAGGGACCACAATCATAAGCTTTAAAATAATGATGATTTTTTAATCAAAGGCCTTAAAATATCTATGATCTTTAATTAGGATATTTAGTTTCACGAATTTATCCTAAAGAAATAATCTATAATGGAAACAAAGTTTCAGAGAAATTTTCTGAATGAATATTTGGAATAGCAAACCTAAACATTCACTAAGAAAATGGTTGATTTCTGGCAGGGTGGATAACTAGAGACATCGCTTGCAAAATGGTCCTGGCGGGAAGGCAGGATATAGGATACAGGAGATGGGAGAAGACTCACAGGTCAGGTGTGGATCACAGACAGAGATGTCAGAGATGGCTGGGGACTCCAGGGAGAAATTATGAAGCCGAGAAGGAAGAAGATAAAAAGAAGACATCAGCAAGGATTAAACACAGAGAGGCTTGGAGCCCAGTGAAAGGGTAAGAGGGGATTCTCCTTCCCCTAATACATGCCTTTAGTGAACTGTGGGACACCAAGTTTACTGAAGGCTTTTCTATCCTCCATGAGCCCAGGCATGGTGGCAAATACGGAACAGCGGGGTGAACTTGGGAGTGCATGGAGTTCAGGCAGTCCATGAGGGGCACCCTCCAGGAGAGTGCCAGGAGAGCTAGAGTGCTAGCTTTCTCCCATCCAGACACTTCCAACCCTGCATTTTCCCTATCCACTATAACTGGTGCTCAGGTTGATGGTGACCTGCAGTCCCTTCTCCACCCATTAAACTGCAACCACGGTCTGACCTGTACGCTGAGGGTCTTCACAGACAGTGAGACCCACACCTCTTCCCCTTGAGGGAACTTTCTGTCCACTGGCATTTCATGGGGTTGCACGCTGGCTGCTCAGATAAGGAAGCCAGTCCTGGTGCACCCAGGACTAGAGAGGGGTCCAGTGGGAGACAGGGGAGAAGTCTGGGAGCTGGACTCGGGTAGCAAGGAAGCCTGCAAGGACATATCCAACAGGAGAGTGTACTGGGGTGTTGAGGAATGGAGATCTAACAATGTACAACCTGCCTACTGGAGAATCACCATATTGGATAAGGGTGTGGCATTTAGAGAGGAACAGCCCAGCCCCTGGTTCGATAGCAGCCAAAAGCCCCCTCCTACTCAGGCCAACCAGCTGACCAGGTGCTGTGGCCCCTCCCCCAATCATTACAAATGGGAGTAGTTTGAGCTGAGAAGTTCTGTAGTGGCCATTTCTCTCTAGCAGGCACATGCTACAGGGTGAGGTCCTTACAGATTGTGGGACCCATACTCTCCCTCTGAGGACTTGTAGTGGAACAGGGGCACACAATTTTGGAGCTGCTACCCACTGGCATTTTGTGGAGATGCATGCTAACACAGGGTCAGACATACAGATGGCAGAGGGAGGTTTGAAAGCTGGACTTGGGTGGTGAGGAAGCACACGTGGACTGAACTGAGGAAAGTGTGCTGTGGGAGTCCAACAAGTGGTGATTTGGTGGACCACCACCCCATCACAAATAAACTCCATTACCAGATAAGGGCAGAAGGATCCCAGCCCGAGGCCTTAGCACTAAAGCACTTAGGCCCCTTCCTGTGAATAGTTCTCTGGGTGTGGAGAGCTTATTCTGACTCCCATACCAGTGGCTCCCCCTAGTGCCCAGGAAAGCAACTTCTGAGCCCTGGGGAGGCTTTGCAAAGCCTCTCAGGTTCTCACAACCTAGCCACAAACTTCACAGCTTCTTCCCCTACCTCAGAGGTGGTAGACATTAGGCAACCCCCTGGGAGCTACAAGGTTTCTCCTAAAGCTTGAGGCACTCAAGTACTTCACCAGAACGACCAGATTTTACCATAGGCACAAATGAACATCTTGGCAGCTGGCTCTTTTACACCAATATCAACCAATGACGGAGAACAACTCTATAGCTCATCAGAACATTGTTCAACTCAAGCAAAGGGGGTGTGGGTGATTCATACAAGCACCACCCCCCATATCAGAGATTAAGCTAGGGGACTCAACACAATTCACACTGCTGAGAAGAGGTGAAGAAGGCATGACCCAGGTAATCAGAGAGGATCATTAAACCTGCTTGAAAACCCCATAGGCAACTTGAGATGAGCACTCTTTTCCCTGGCAGAGGCAGAGACTGATCTTTGGGGACATGGGAAAAGGCCCAGAAGCCAGGCCCAGTAGCCCCAGGACTTCAGCAAGAGGCCAGATGAGAAGGAAACAATGAAAGAACTCCAGAAGTATGAAGAATCAGAGTGAAAGGTCATCTCAAAAAGAAAACAACAACTCTCTATCAATGGATACCAACCAAAATAAAAATATCAAAATGACAGAAAAATAATTCCAAATTTGGGTTATAAGGAAGCTCAACGAAATGCAAGAGAAAATGAAAAACGAACAGAAAAAATCTACAAAAATAATACAGGAAATGAATGTAAATTTTGCTAAAGCAATCAAATTGTTAAAAAAAAATCAAACAGAAGTTCTAGAAATAAAAAATTCACTCAAGGAAATCCAAAACACTGCGGAAAGTTTTAAGAATATGCTAGGCCAGACAGAAGAAAAAAATTGCAGAGCATGAAGATATCAACTTCAAATTAAACAAGTCAGTGAAGATAAAGAGCAAAGAAATAAGGGGAATGAACAAAGCCTACAAAAAAACATGGGATCATGTAAAGAGGCCATACATAAGAATCATGAGATCCTGAGGGTGAAGAAAACACATAAGGGTTCAAAAAACTATTTGAAGGAATAATTGAGTAAAACTTCCCTAGTCTTGCTAGAAATTCAGATAGCCAGGTACAACAATCTCAATGAACACTGTTAAGATTTATCACAAAGAAGCAATCACTATAGCACATAGTCATCAGACTGGGCAAAGTTAACAAAGGAGGAACTCATGTGAGCTGTAAGGCAAAAACATCAGGTAACTTGCAAAGAAAAACTCAGACTTCTCAACTGAGACCTTATAAGCCAGAAAGAAATGGGGTCCTATCCTCAGGCTTCTTGAATAGAATAATGGTTAGCTTAGAATTCTGTATCCTGAAAAACTAAGTTTCTTATTTGAGGTAGAAATAAAGATGTTTTCAGTTAAGCAAACACTGAGGGAATTTGTCAAGATCAGACCAGCCCTGCAAAAAATACTCAAATCTGCATTATACATTGATCGGCACAATAGAACACCAGTGTAAAAGCACCCAAAAGCTAAAGCTCAGAGCCCATATACGGTAATAGCTCAACAGGTAAAATGAAGCAATAAGGTACTACCCAACAGGATGAAAAGAAACATATCCTACTTATTAATGCTTTCAGTAACTGTGAGTGGCTTGAATTCCCCACTCAAGAGACATAGGCTAAATGAGTAGATTAAAAAAAAAAAAAATACAAGCCACATATCTGGTGTCTCCAGGAAACACATCTAAGCCACAAGGACTCATTCAGACTCAAGGTGAAGGGATTTAAAAAAAATATTCCATGCAAATGGAAAGCAAAAGAAAGCAGGTATTCTCATATCAGATAACATAGACTTCAAATCAACAATAGTAATTAAGGCAAAGATGGTCATCATACAATGGTAAAGGGAGCAATTCAACAAGAAGATATAACAACCATAAATATTCATGCAACTAACACAGGTGCACCCAGAATCATAAAGCAAACCCTATTAGATCCAAATGAAGTGATAAACACAGCATCGTAATAGCTGGGGACTTCAGCATCCTACTGACAGAATGGGACAGGTCCTCCAAGAAGAAAATAAGCAAAGAAACACTGGACTTAAATGGGACTCTAGAGCAAATGGGCCTAATAGACATTTACAAAACATTCCACCCCAAAACTACTGAATGTACATTCTTCTTATGAGCACATAGAACATTCTCTAAGATTGCTCACATCTTAGGCACAAAACATGCCTCAATAAATTAAAAAAAAAAACAAAAACAGAAATCATACCATGTATCTTCTCAGACCACAGTGGAATAAAATTAGAAATCAACTCCAACAGAAACACTCAATTCTATACAAAGTCATCATGGAAACTAAACAACCTACTGCCCAATGATTACTGGATCAAGCAGGAAATTAAGATGGAAATCAAGAGATGCCTGGAACTAAATGACAAAGGAGACACAAGTTATCAAAGTCTATGGCATTCAGCAAAAGCAGTCCTAACAGAAAAATTAACTGCCTTAAATACCCACATTGAAAAGACAGAAAGATCACAACTCAACAATCCAATGATTTATCTCACGGAGTGAGAAAAGGAAGAACAAACCAAACCCAAACCAAGCAGAAGAAAAGAAATAACTAAAGTCAGAGCAGAACAAAATGAAATAAAAAAAAACCCCACAAAATTAATGAAACAAAAAGTTGGTTCTCTCAAAAGATAAACAAAATTGACATACCACTCACTAGATTAACCAGAAGTAGAAAAGAAAGGACCCAAATAAGCTCAATTAGGAAGGAAAATGGAGCTATCACAATTGATATCACAGAAATAAAAAATATCATCTGTGAATACTATAAAAATCTCTACGCACATAAACTTGAAAACATTGAGGAAATGGGAGAAAAGGTCAATACAACAAAGGTATACACACAAAGCAAACTGAGCAGTGTCACATTTAAACAAACATCCTCTCAACAGGGACAAATGTACTGATTAACAAGATAAAGGGATGAAGCCAAATATTTTTCATGTAAATTTGTACTTACTGTGATATTTAAATATATTGTACGCTTTTGAACATCATAACTGACATATGCTGATTTTACGCCAATGTATTTCACATCGATAGAGCGAGGGAAAAGGAAAAATACGGCCAATCCCGAAAGGAGCAGACAGACAGACACTGAAGCCATCACATAGAGCTTTCTGAAAAGGAAAAGGAGTATTTAAATAAATGTGCATCAAAAATTACATAATGCAACATTCAGAGAAGCTATTTTCAATTTGAATATTCCCCCATACATGTTCCCCCAGCAACATGTATAAAATGCATAATTTTACCAAATTTTCACACTCTAGAAGTATAGGTTAAGGTTGGTTCTGAATCTGTTAAGTGCTAAAATGTTGTCCTTAAAAGATTAATTCACCTTTTTGGAGACTAGGAGTTCAGGTTTATAAGTGATAGAAGGTTTACTGCAGTGATTTCCAAACCAGGCTTCACATTAGAACCAAGCTGAAGAGCTTTATACAAATTTCAAGACTCCTTTCTGAATTCACCGAAGCAGAATTTTCACATGTTGAGTTTGTATATGATCCCGTACAGTGACTGCTCATCAGAACCACCCAAGAAGCTCTTAAAACTAATGACATAACCACATGCTGTATCAATGATTCTCACTGGTAACAACTAGTCCTTTCTGAGTCTCCTTATCCAAAGTATTAAAGTATGGTTTTAAAAATATTGTTTACATTGATCAACCCTGCGTTAAAGGTGTTGTCACACTGTTATTTTTAAATTAAGAAAAGAGATAATATATGCAGGTATAAAACAAGGAAAATAACAAAGCCTATATACCTTTCCCATTCTTCTAACTACCCTGAAATGTATCTCTTCCATCTCGTATGCTTTTCTTTCCAGTCTCCAAAGATGGAAATTACTTCTTTTCTTCAAGATTAACCTCCAAACTAGAGTTTCATGAACTATTTTCTGACCCCTCCAATATACAGCCCTCTACTGAAAACACACAGCACCCCTTTTTGTTTCTAAGTCTTGCATGTCACTTTATCTTTTCCTTATATTCTAGTAATAGAAAAAAATTTCATTTTATCCTTTCTTCCACTCTCTCTTCCCCACCAACTCCTTTCTAAATGCATGGATGAATTTAATCTTTGTATGCCTCAGAACTGCTATTACAGTGCTTCCTGAAGATGTTTTATAAATATTTCTGTGTATTTTAAGTTGCTTAAGGGAGAAAAATGGTTTACCAAAAAACAAAATAAAACAAGCAAAAAAAAAATTGCTAAATTACTGCTACAGTCATATTGAGTGAACAAAGCAGTTCAAACTCCCTCACTTTGGACTTTCTCTCAACCTGAATAGGATAGTGATCACTATTGGGTTACCTAATAGGTAGTTTAAACAAATGTTTATAGTATCTAAAATATACAGAAACACCTTAAAAGGTATAAAAAGAGTTTAAAAATCATCACAATAAAAAATCTGAACTTTGTTGGAGTTTCTATATATTAGTATTATTTTATTTTTAATTATTAATGGGTGGGTGAGCCCACCATAATCTATTTAGTGCTTAGTGCCTATAAATCAGCCCTAGTTGTGACTATATGAGTCTGGTCCTAAATTACTCCGCACAGCAAGTTTGTTGTTATAAACATTATTTAACCTGGTGGGACAATAAAATAACATTCTATGTAGCATTTCATCTAAAATAAAAAAATTGGCTAGGTCACTGACAAAGTACTTAGATCTTCATTACAAAATTCATCAGTAATATTTTTTCTTATGGCTCTAGGGATAGCAACCGAATCCTGATGAAGTTATGAAGGTTGTGAGGTATATTTGGTGTAAATTTACAATTCTATTTCTATCATTTCCTATCTGCAGTGTTTAAGGCAATTTATTTTCTGCTTTAAAATCCATAGGTTTGTTTTGAGGATTAAATTGAATAGCTAAAGTATATAGACAAAAACAATTAATAAATATTTTCTAAATTCCTTAGCACAACACTCCCAATTTGTAAACAAATAAAAGACCCAAAATTGTTCCCCAAATATTATAATTTTACTACAAATTGAGAAACAGCAATTATTCCTGTCCTTGTGTGAGCTCTGAGGATTAGTACCTTTGTTCCTATTAGATGGTCTTTGCACAGCCTCAGGTACTTTCCTTACGCATATAATATATACTGATCGTGACTCAGAAGCATCCTCTGCAGCTCTCTACCCCCTGGTACTCTGTCTTGTGAACTCTAATCATCTGATTTCCTGGACTCCCAGCTCAACTTCTTCAATTGAGGGAGACTGCTGAGTTCTGTCTGACTTCTTTTCCTTGTGCTATATCCTGGAACCTTTCTCCAGACAGTAAGCTGGTACAATCATAGGACTTATCTCCTTTGTTTTCCCTTTCTCAGGAATCACTGTCCTGTGCTGTTTGATGCCCATGTTTGAAAATATTGTTTCATGTATTTGTCCAGTGTTTTTAGTTAATTCAGGTAGGAGAGTATATCTAGTATCTGTTATTACATCTTGGTTGGAACTAGAAAATCCTATTTGACTTTGTACTCTTTGCTCTTATGCTGAAAATCTTATTCCTTAATGGAATTTCCATAATTACTTATTTGCTTTACATACAAAATTTCAATATTATACCAACAGTACTCATAATAATGCAACCACTGAGTACAGTTTAAAATTTGTTCTGCTTCTCTTTACCATTTAGAACATATCTTACCAGATATTAACAGTCAAAACACAATGTTTTCAAGTCATTTAAAGTAATTCTTTTGGCCAGCCCGGTGGCTCACGCCTGTAATCGTAGCACTCTGGGAGGCCCAGGTGGGCAGACTGCTCAAGGTCAGGAGTTCGAAACTGGCCTAGCAAGAGTGAGACCCTGTCTCTATTATAAATAGAAAGAAATTAATTGGCCAACTAATATATATAGAAAAAAAAATTAGCCAGGCATGGTGGCGCATGCTTGTAGTTCCAGCTACTCGGGAGGCTGAGGCAGAAGGATTGCTTGAGCCCAGGAGTTTGAGGTTGCTGTGAGCTAGGCTGATGCCAAGGCATTCACTCTAGCATCGACAACAAAGTGAGACTCTGTCTCAAATAAATAAATAAATAAATAAAGTAATTCTTTCAGCTGTGTTTATGTCAACAACTTGATATATAGTTAAAATCATTTGTTTCCTTTTGTTTCAATTTTTAGCAGTTGCTTTTTTTTAAACTTTTGATTTAATCTTTTAAATTATATTTTTAAAAGTACATGGTTCTAAAACCCAAATACACTCACCCATACACACACACAGACACACACGCACACAGACTTTTACTTGTTTATCTGTTCCCTCACCCAAGTTCCCTCCCAAATTCTGACAGTAACCAATTTTATTAGTTTATGGTTTATCATTCCATTGTTTGTGTGTATGTGTTTGGTGTATGTTTTAAAATAAAAACATGCTCTGAATATTACACTGCAGTAAAATACCACTCTTCCTCATTCCATTTTACTACTGTGTACATGTAGCACAATTTATTCTACCAGTCCTCTATTATGGGTTATTTACATTGTTTCTAGTTGTTTGCTATTACAAACACTGGCAGAGTGAATAACTTCCGCAAATGTCATTTACTATATTTGACAACTGTCCTTAGAATACATTTTTTTAAAGTAGAATTCCTGAGCCCAAAAGTAAATGCATATGTAATTTTGTTAGCTAATGCCAAATTCCCATTCACTAGCAAGGCATGAGTATGCTTGTTTTCACTCAGTATTGCTAACAAAATATGTTATTAAAAGCTTGGATTTTTGCCAATCTCATAGAAATGGTATCTTCATGTAGATTTAATTTACACTTGTTTTATGAGCAAGATTGAACATTTTTTCAAATGTCTAAAGGTCATTTGCATTTCCTTTTTGTGAACTAGCTTCTATTTTCCTTTGGTGGTTGGCCTTTTTCCTCTCAAAATTTGAAACCCTTTATAGAGTAAGGATATTGGCTCTCTTTCTGTGACATGATTTGCAAACACTACTTCCCAGTTTACCATTGTATTTTGACTTCAATTAAGGTTTTATTTTCATTCTATAAAAGTTTATATTAATATTTGTCAAATTTATATATTTATTCTTTCATCACTTTGGGACTCTAAATCATCATTGGAAAAACCTTCCCACTAGCAGGTTATAAAAGGATTAACCCTGATTTCTTTCATATTCATACCTGTCTATACATCTCATAATAAAAAGTCAGACTGCTTATAAAATCTTTGGTTCATTTTATTTCCCTAGTTACTAAATATGTTACTCTACCTCTCACTTTTTTGTGGTCAAGAAGTAGCATGTCATTTTTATTTTCTATTTCTTATAAATTAATTGATCCTTTTACCTGGGTATTCAAAGAGAGTTTTTTTGCTTTTTTTTTTAAACCTTTCAAAGTTCAAACATTTCACTAGAATTGGATGATTCTTTTCAGGATTGTAAGTCTTTTCAATATGTAGTTCTTATCTGCTTTTACTTCAGAGAATGCTCTTGAATTAATGTTCAGTATTTACTTCTACTCCTTTGATTTTCTCTTTCAGAAGTTCCAATTACATACATGTTCAATTTTCTTTTTTTTTTTTTTTTGTCTTCTGTATCATTTTCTCAAATCGTTTTCATTAACTTGTGTGTGTTTTGTTGTCATTCCCCCTCTGTATCGTCTATTTTCCTTATTGTACTTTCCAGGGTATGTATTTGTACTTGCGTTCTTCCAGTTTTGTGGACATCTTTTTTTCTAATTTTTTCTAGGGCTCTGTAAACTCTTTTCACATTCTCCCACTGTTGGTTATCTCATTCCTGAGCTTATCAATTTCTGTCTTATGCTGTTTTGTCATAGTTTCTATAATATTAAAGTTTTCATTTGCTTTTATCACCTGCTAGCATTTTGCTCAGTTCACTTTCTCTGACTTTTAAAAAGTATTTTTGCATGATGGTTTATTGTAATGCTTTCCTGCTGCTCATGTTTAAATGAGAAGAGCTTTTGTAGTTTTAAGAAAAGGTTCCATTTTGGATAAAGGGATATGTCAGTGTTGCTTTCCTTGCGTCACCGCTCAAGGGCTCCATCCTCTGTTTTTATACAAAGTGTTAAAAAAGATGGTCTCTGTGTATTCACATCCATAGTTCTGAGATTATCTCCCTAGTATGAAGCTGTTTTCTCCTTTATTCCTAATTCCTGCCCTGTATAAATTTGGGTTCTACCCAACAGCTTTTTTCCTTATGTCTGTGTTCTTTTGCAAAAGTTTTGTGGGGGCTCTTTTTGTTCTTCTTTTTCTTTTTTTTTTTTTTTTTTTTTTTTTATGTTTCTTAAGGTCTCTGAGGACTTAGGATGGTCCAGTTCCTTCTATTTCTCTCAAGGTCCCTTGGTGTATCTCTGTGGCCTTTTTACACTCTCTCCAAGCTAGAGCATTCAGGGTCTTCTTACTTTAGCAGGATATTCTTGGAAGTATTTGCTGGGAGTACTCAGAATGAGGTCCTCTTCTTTTAAGACAGGGCATTTGCTTTGTGAATCAGGGCTCTTAGGATCCTCAGGAACTCCCTTTTTGCTTCCTAACTACCACATAGCTGCTAACCATTTGAGTCCCTGCTATCATCATGGTCTGAATACCCATTTTTATTTGGAGGTTGTTGGGAACACCTTATTGCCCATTTTTTATGAAAATGATGTTTGTTTTGTGTTTCCTACTGCTATTCTAGATATGTTTTAATAATAGATTTGAGAAGATACAGATATCATACTGCTTTCAAGACCTTACCCCAACCAGGAATCCTTGTTTTGTTTGTTTAATGACACAAAGCATATGATGGCATAACTTAACAACCTTACAACATTTTTCCTTTTAATAGTTTTAACCACAATTATTTGTATGTAATTTGAAAAAAAAAATACAAAAAATGAAAATAAAACCTAAAACACTGCCATTTTCTTAAAATCACTTACGTTCTTCTTGGCCTTAATCTCTGGTCACTATATGGAATCAATGCCACCAGTTGGTTTTCTTGCCCTAAATGTGAAAGAAATAGGTTTAGAAATGTATTAACATGATTAATTAAGAATATAATGGTACCCTATCACAATCTGATTTGTAAAGACCAGAACAGCATTTGGTTCTCATCTCATTCCTTTAGTAAACTGCTCTCCAAGTCTTTCAAAAATTATCCGGCAGAAGACACTGTTATTTCATACCTAGATGTCTAGCTAGTCAAAGATAGTATTATGAATGAGGGCTCCATTACTATTTCTTCCAGTGGAAAAAATCTAAGAAGTCCCAGCTTTCAGAAGATCTGAATTTACAGGCCTTCCTTCAACTCCATTGTTTTCCATTAAGACTCAAATGATTTGGTTATCTGGATGACATTAGAATAAACACTGCCATCTTCCTTTCCTGAACCCTTTATCACTACAGAGATTCTTACACTACCCTCCTTGAAAATCCAAACTGACAAATACTAAGTCTAAAGCTTCAAGAGCCCTACATAATGAGCCTTTCAGAGTCTTTTCAGGTCATACCCCAATCCATATTAAAGTCGCTTCAAAATCCATAATTCCTTCTTTGGGTTGAGCTATATCCAGAAGCTTTAACAGATAAATGGACCTTTAAAAATGCCAATTTTCTAATCCTATCAGAAGTTAGTTTTTCACACTAACTACTAAAGTACCAGATAGTCAAAAATTCTCTTTCAAAACTTTCTATAATGTTATTATTCCTTCCTGCATCATCTGTGCTCCCCCATCGCACCCACAAAAAATTATATACATATTATATATATACACACACATATATATGTGTGTGTGTTTACATATGCCATCTTGTTTAGTGGTATTCATTTAGATAAACTATAATCCTGGTTAAAACCAACCCTTTGGCTAGTATGTATATATCCACACAGCTAAATGTGGATAGAGAAAAACATACAACTACACTCACCAATCTCATTTTAGATCACTAATCTTACATGGCCCTTAATGATGCCAACAGTCACACTATATGTCCCAAGTTCACACTCTCAGTCTCTTGATCTGACTCTCCAAGACCACAATTTAATAACTTAAACTATCTTTTCAAATCTTTAATATCTTCTCTCTATCCTCATTCTTAGTTTATGTGATAAAAAAGAGAATTTCCACAAGCTCCTACCATCACATCTACCCACCTACCTGCTTCTGTGTACACACTATACTTTTTCTCTTATTACTAAAAATAAACTACCCACGCTCCTCTGTGAGTACTGCTCTGTCTGCACTTGTGCACTATATCCCATCGACTTTTGCCTACTCAAGAACAATGCTCTAATAATTCTCCCATCTCCTGCATTACTAATGTTTGTTCTATGGATAATCCTCATCAGCATACAAACATCTATTATTCACTCTATCTTTAAAAAGTCTCTCTCCTGATCTTATAGCAACTCCAGTTACCACCTTTCTTTTCTCCTCTTCTATAGAGCCAAACTCCACAAAAAAGCTATTTTCTTTCTATATAAATTATCTCCTCCTACATGCTCTTAAAAATCACTGTATATGCTACATACAACCTAACAAGCTACCCAAACTGCTCTTTTAAAGATTTCCAGTGTCTCTCATATCACCAAATCCAACAGTCAGTCCTCAGTTTTCACATTACTTGATCTAACAGTTGATCACTATTTTTCCCTTGGCACACTTTCTTCATTTATCTTCCAGGACACCAGACACTGTGATTTCCTCCTCCCACTCTTGCTGTACTTTCTCATTGTCTTTTTCTAATTTTTTCTCATGCTAATGACCTTAAAATGCTGTAATGTCCCAGGGTTCAATGCTAGGGTCTCATTTTTCTGTCGCACTAACTAGTTTGGTGCTATCATCCAGCTCAGCTTTAAGTATCATCTACACATTGATGACTCCAAGCTAGGCCTTGCACTTGAATTCCAGATGCTTATTTAAACTAGCTGCCTATTGAACATATCCACTTCCATGTCAAATAGGCATCTCCAAACATACATGTCTAAAATTGAACTCCCGATCTCTCCCCTGACACACTCAAATCATCTTTTCTCCACTTTAATAAATTGCTACTCCATTCTTTCAGTTGCTCAAATAAACAAAAAACAACTCTGGAATCATCCTTGATTTCCTACTTTCCACAATCCATATTTAGGCTACCAAAAAATACCTCAAAAATATGACTAGACTGCTAAAACACTTCCTCCCCATCCCCAGCCTGGTGCGTCAATCCCTTCAATTGCAATAATTCTTTTATTTTCAAATAGCTACTGTCCTTGCAAAGATATAACAATCATATTGAAAGTCCATCCCAAATGTAAACTTCCTCAACTCCAACCCATGGCATTTCTTAGAGACTATGGTATACCTTATACTGTCACTTTAGGGTCTCTGCAAGGTCACATATCAACTTTAAGGATGAGAATTGCACATGGTAACATTATTATTTCTTGTTGCCACTGCTACTAAAGTAGCCTACAAATAGCATCTATGGAATTATTTCCAACTTCTCCTAAGACATACATAGACTGATTATTTCTTTTTCAACTTGGCCCATCTTCATGTACGATCCCTCTTCATGTAGTTCCTTTCAGAAATAACTGATTAGGGCATGGCCAGCTTATTAATATTCTTTAGATAATGAATTAAAAATATTAGGTCACCAAATTACTTAAATTATTTCTGCTATTTACAATAGCAAAGTGACTGTGGTAGTACCTCTATAGATACCAAATAGGACTAAAAGTTTTCAGTCAAGAGACAGTGTGTATCTGCTATAACAAGTGGGAAATAAAAAATACTGGAGGTAGCGAGATGGTTTTTATTATTGCTTTAGGAACCTTAATTAATATTTTTATGCTTGTTTTTTGTATATTTTTGATATGAAGTTTTGCCTTTAAGTCTAAGAGTCTTTTAAAACAGAGGGTTGCTTAGACCCATAGGATTTATTTGTACAAATGCCTGAAGTCATTCTTTAAAGGAAAAACAATGCAATAACACATACCCCTGGGAATTCTTCCTGTTCCCTGACAAGTGGGGCAAGTGACACTATCTCTTCCTGTAAATTCCACATATGGAAACTGGGAGACATCTCCATTTCTTCCATCTTCACCATGGACTTCATTATTAACCAGTCCATTCCTCATATTGTCAGAAGATATGACTCCATCATAAGCATCTTCTTTACTTGAATGCAAAGGCAAGTGAGAAAGAGACTTTCCCATGTCTAAAAAAAAAAAGAAAGAAAGAAAAGAAAAATCTTAGAGTAAATAAAAAACAAAAAAGGCAAAACACATTCTATTAATACCTTTAAGCCAGTTGGTAATAAAGGCAAAAACTGCTTTTGGGCAAATGACAAGTAGGTATTTGGTGTATCACCAGGTAATTTCAAAGTAGCATTTCTCAGACTTTTAAAATGTGTGTCCTTCTGTGATAAATAAAATTCACAATCCTTCCCATCTTCACTTCCATCCTTAGATTTCTTGCTTTAAACATTTAAACACTTGCGACAACAAAAATACCTCAAAAATCCCAAATCATACAGACTTTTCTTTCAACAGATGGCAGAGTTAAAATTAGGAAGCTAATATTCCAAAATATTTAATATAATTTATTAACACAAAGCAACAAAATTTAGAATATTAACTTCAAAATTTTAGGATAATAGTATCAAAATAACTTGGAGAAAATTAAATATAAATTTAAAATCCAAGTGAGAATAAGTAACTAGTATTAATACCAATACATAAATAACCTCTGCAGGTAGGTAAAATAGTAACATTGCAGTTAAGGTCATCCAATTTTAAGGCTGAAAAGAACTTAAAAGTCATATAATCCACTCTGCTGATATTCTGAGGAAAAGTTAATAAAGAGGAATGCAAAATTTAAAAATAACATAATTTTACTCTAAGTTTAATCATCTTCTATCAGTTCCTAAAAATAGACTGTAGACATACAGACATTTCTTTAAAAATTTTTCGTTTATTTGAATAAGGAAAACTAACATTCCAAATAATTCAATTCATTCTATAACATGAAGAAAAATTTGCTTTTTAAAATTGGTATGCCATCCATTTGATGCAAACAAAAACAGCAGAATAAGAACCATACAACTAGCAGTACACAAACTTAAAAGTGTAAAATGAGACATAAAATTTTTTTTTCACCATTAAAAAAAATCTATGTAAACACTGTCCAAATTCAAAATCATACATGATTTATGACTTCTAAAAAAGCATTATCTTAATATGGCTCAGTTACATTCTGTCTAAGACAAACAAACCCTTTCTAGCCACAGGTGTTCAGGGGTGAATTAACATCAGTGTTCCCATACACTGTGACCTTGGGGTCTTCGTGGAACATGAGACAAACTGGAATCACTGGGCCTCAGCAGTAAGGCTTCAGGAGCACACTTTCTGGGATCTCAGTCAACATAGCTGGGGTGTAAGGTGCATCTCTCTAGGTCTGGGCCAGTTTTCTGTTCTAATTTGACAGTTAACTTCATTGATCTGTTTTAGGTATGTGTTTGGACTAGTGCCAGACTATGTCAGATACTTGGAATCCCTGCCTTCCCTACTAGATTTCTTCAGAAAACTGACAAGTTTAATCACTTCTATTCTTGGAAACGCCTCAGTTTAAAAAGGGGTGCTAGGCCACGTTCTCCTTCTGCCTGTGCTCAACGTTTTTATACCAGTCTCTTAATTTACCAACAAACAAGTATCTCAGATTCAGTCTGGAGAGGGGGGTAAAATATACATATACACACATAATATATGTGTGTATGTGTTTATACACACACACACACACACACACACACGTATACCACTCCACTCAATTTAAATGGGTCGCGATTTTCTGTGCAGACACTGGTTTCAGTTCTGAAAGGGCTTGAAAACGAAGGAAACCGGCGCCTTTCAAAAAAGCTCCATAAACAAAACCCGTCACAAAGCCTACTCTGTAAAGGTTAAAAATAAGATCCAGGGGACAGTGCAAGAAAATTCAAGAACAGCGAAACCAAGGGCCACCTGGCGTTCAAGGTGGAGCGAGGGCCTAGAATCAACCCCAAGGGCCGGGCTTGGGCCCAAAGCAGGTGCCCCTTGGCAGGAGGCTGGGCCCGGGTAAGAGGAGGTGACACCACCTCCAGCACTGGCTTCCGCGCAGCCCCCGGCGGCCGGCGGGCCCCGCTCCCTGGCGGCCTCCCCTCCTCCACCTCCTCCTCAGGCCCGACTCATCCCAGGGCGCCGCCACTCAGCCCCGCTCTAGAAATGGACCTGGGAACTGCACGTCCGGGGTCGCTCACCGGCACGCGGGGCGCTGCGCAGTCCCCGGCTCCTTCGGCGCAGAAAGGCCCTAGCACAGGGTCGCGGAGTCCGCAGTCCCGGGTGCTGGGAGCTGGAGCGACTGCCCCAGAGCGCGGGGCAGCTGCGGAGTTCCGACGGGGGAGGGGCAGGACAACAACAGCATCAGCTGAGGCCCGGCGCTGCTGCAACCTGCGCCCGCGCCTGCGCAGAGCGCTCCCCGAAGGGCCGAGGGCGGGGGCGATGCCAGAGGAGCGCGCAGGGCGCATGCGTCCTTCTGCCGTCTGCTTAGGGCGCCGAAACGCGGTTCCTGTCCTGTCTTGAGGTTTGGTTTTACCTTCACGTACCTCGACTTCAAAGTATAATTTGGCCACTCTAGCTATGGATAATTTAGGAATATCCCCTCTTCCCTTTTTTCCCCATCCGACCATTTCTTTTTTCAAGGAGGAAAAATGTGCACCATGTGACTCAGCTATCAGCTGAGCAACCTCCTTGGTCAAGCTCTGTGAGTCGTCGCTGTCAGGCTCGTTCGTGGGAGGAGAATAAACCGGTTGGCACACAAGCCTCTGGCAGCAGAAAATTTACGACTAGTTTAATTTAGAAACTATTGCCAACTAGAAGGAAACTGCAAGCCGTAAGGGCCCGGTTTTTTGTTTTGTTTTTTATGTTTTTGCACGTGCAGCCTCTCCCCACCCCTTAACACAGTGGCTAGTTACAGGTGTGTGAGGAGAGACCCCAGTTCAAATCCCAGTACTTCAACTCATCCCTGTGAGTTGGAGCAACTCTTCTCCATGTCTTTAAGTCTACGTTATCTCACTTACAGAATAATAACAACAATACAAAGTTGTTTTGAGGGTTCAGCCAGATGCCTGTAATAACTATCAAGGGCTGACTAGACTCACTGCCTGTGGAGAGTTTAACCTTGGTAGTCATTGTTATCATAGTCACAAATAAGATAGTAACTAAGGAAGGCGGTGATAGTAATTTTTTTCTCTCTTCTGACAGGATCAGACTGTTTGGCCAATGGAGTATGAAGATACTTAAGAGTAAGAAATACAAATCAAAACAGTATGCAATTTAGTATTTAAAATGATCACTGTATATCCACGTGTTAGATAATGAACCTATGCACACAATGATGTCGAAGATATAAACTCAGATTTTCTGACAGGTAGGCAATGTGTATCAAGACTATTAAAAATGTTCACATCGCTTAGCCCAGCAATTGCACTTGAGATTTATCCTAAACCTGATGAGAACTGTAAAAAGATTTCTATACAAGGTGTGTCCTTGTACAGGTGTATCCATTTAAGTAAACTAAATGTCCAATAAGGGGACATTGATTAAATCATTATTTTTAAGCTATGTGTGTTTAGCCCAGATTATCCATTAACACTGTTTGAAATAGCAAAATGTAATAAATAGCTTAGTTAAAACAAATCAGAATCATGGGAGAAAAAATTCCTAAATTTATTCTGATAGTGTACCTGTATAGGTATGACACTCCTCTTCTTAGAATTAATGAGTTACTTATATTATGGAATAGCCATGCAATAAGTTTCTATTACATAAAGCCTGTAAAAATCATGTTATAAAGATGTTTTGTTGTATGAGGAGTAATAATATAACATTAAATAAAATCAATATCCACTAGATAGGACATGAAATATTATAATGGGATGTAAAGTATTACATATTCACATTTAGAACATATAGATATAATATTATATATCTGCTTTGAAATGAAAGGAAACATACAAAATATAACCAATCATCTGTAGTTTGCACCTATGTATGTTTTTTCTTTATTATATATATTGTCGAATTAGCAAGTGTTTCTATAATTTAACATATATTACTTTTCTATGAAAAAACAAAGTGTTTTTTTAAATACTTCTTAAGGAGGTACTTAGCTGGTATTCTCTCATTTAACCTTATCATTTAACTTAAGACATACTGGTATAACACAGTCCTTATCCAAATTACTGGAATTTACATGGGAGTGAATCTTTCTTGGAGACTATTCTGGTAAGAAGTTTAGTGGCACAGTTAGGATCACAGCCTTAGGCATCACATTGCCTGAGGATAAGCCAGGGATATACCATTAGGTGCAGAGCCGAGAGGGAGAGATACAAAGTCTCTTGTGTAGTAAATGCTATTTATTTTCAGCATCCGGGTACAGATTGGTGGAGGCCGAAAACAGCATCCAAGCTGAGGGGAGGGGAGAGCCTTGGATTTTATAGAGGGTTTTTCCAATGGGATTGAGCAACTGGGCCAGAACAGCAGCTGTAATAAATTCTTTTCAAACAACTGGGAGGGATAGGGAAAATAAGTTCCCCTCTTGCATTCCATTCTGTTATCTCCCTAGGGGCCTGGCAAAGGCTACATATCTAACACACCCTTAGGAAGGGGAGAGAGGTGGGTTTTATGGGAGGTTTGGATAAAAGTTTGAGGAGGGTGAATTCTTTAAGCCTAACATACAAAGTCCAGGTAACAGTGGGCAAAATACTTAATCCTTTTTATACCTAATTTTTGTTATCTATAAAATGAAAATAGTAATAATTCCTATCTCAAAGGGTTGTTAGCCAGGAGTCGACCCCTGCAGGGCACTCAGGAAATATACTAGATGTTATTGTGACACACTGTCCATATAACAAAGAGGTATTTTAAAGAAAAATATTGAATGCTTAGTGCTTTTGCTCCTATACCCTGATTTTTCCTCATTAAAGCACACCTTGAAAGGAAAATTTTCTGAAAACCTTCCAATTATTTGGTTAACAATGATTTCCTGAGTTCTGAGTGTGAACTAAAATAAAATCTTAAGGCTTCCCCCACCAGCTGACTGAATAGACCCCCTCCTGGCCAAAGGGGTATCCTAAAACTAAATTGACTGCCGGCAGGTAGGAGGTCAGACATGCACAGACATGCGTCATCACACCCCTCTCCCTTCTTGGAAATATCCTTTTTAACTCACTAATAGACCTAAGGCTGTGGAAGATAAACCTGCCAAGTCCTCAATTTGCACAACAAATATATTACTTATCTCTGATTAAGGACTTTCTTAAAACATTCCAAGCCTTTGAACAAAAGCTTCATTTTTTTAACCAATTACAAATCAAAGAGTCTTTAAACCCACCTATAATGTGTAAGCCCACAACCTTGAGATGGCCCACCTTTTCAGGCCAAACCAATGTATGCCTTCTGTGTATTGATTTATGACTTTACCTTTATCCATCTTCCCCTGAAATGTATAAAAACCAAACTGTAATCCAGCCACAGCAAGTCTACTTGTTCAAGGCTTCTTGGGTGTGCTCCAGGTTATGGTCCTCAAATTTGACTCAGAATAAACCTCTTTAAATTATTTTATAGGCCAGGGGCCATGGCTCACGCCTGTAATCCTAGCACTCTGGGAGGCCAAGGCGGGCAGATTGCTTGAGCTCAGGAGTTCAAAACCAGCCTAAGCAAGAGTGAGACCCTGTCTCTACTATAAATAGAAATAAATTAATTGGCCAACTAATATCTATAGAAAAAATAAGCTGGGTATGGTGGCACACATGCCTGTAGTCCCAGCTACTTGGGAGGATCCCTTGAGCCCAGGAGTTTGAGGTTGCTGTGAGCTAGGCTGACGCCACGGCACTCACGCTAGCCTGGGCAACAAAGTGAGACTCTGTCTAAAAAAAAAAAAAAAAAAAAATTATTTTATAGAATTTTTCTTTTCCATTGCCATGAGTCCAGTACTAGTCTGTGTGCTGTCAGATGAGTAGAAGACCATTATTCCTCAGTGATTTCTGGTTATATTCAGCACAGATGCTGAAGCTAAGTGATTTCTCCATGTTATGTTAAATCTTGAAAACAGCCTTATCTCTCATTCCATTTCTCTCTTTAATCTCCGTTAATGGTAAATCACTCAAATCCTAATGGCAGTCAGCCATGTTGCAAAAATTACTAGGAATTTGCTGTTAAATACAAACAGGCAATTAATTAATAATCATTCTGCTCTCTTAATTTTTCTGAAGTATACAATTTGTCAGGTGTTAACATATAAGTCTCTTTCACACCACCCCCTTCCACTTTCAGGCTGGACAGGCTACATTGCAAACCTTGGATTTAAAGAATTGAGGTTTCTCTGGCTGGATTTCAGAGATAGCTTCCAGCCACATAGCAAAACTATCCCTCAGTTTAGTCTTCAATTTTCAAACAGTAACAATTATTAATGATGGCCTTTTTAAAAACCTCACAGATATTAGTATATAGAAGCAGATCTTGAACATTGGTACTAGACAATTCATCATTCTACTTTGAACAGAGACAATGTGTGTTTTCTGAGAGGGCGTGTTTTTTCCCCAAGAAATCAATCTCAAAAATACTATTTCTCTTTTCATGTTGCATGTTAAAATCTAGTGAGGTTATCAGGTAAATCAACAGAAATGATATATGATAAAATATATGAATGATAGAAATATGCAGAGAAGAATCCTATCTAACTGGGACTAAAAGATTAAAGAAGATTCCTAGGAGAAGATGAAGAATGGGTAGGAGTTATTTATTTATTACAGCTTATTGAGGTAAAATTGACATATCTTAAACCATATATGTTTAAGTATGCAATTTCACAAGCTTGATATAAAATATATTTGTAAAACCATAGCAATAATCAAATAATGAACATATTCACACCCACAAAAATTTTCTTGTGTTTCTTAGTAACCTGGTGCTTTTGCCACTCCTCCACTGATATGTCTTCTGTAATTATATATTAGCTTGTATCATCCAGAATTTTATATTAATGGAGTCCAATATTATGTACACTTCTTTGTCTGGCTTCCTTTATTCCGTCTGCTTACTTTGAGACTCATTCATCTTGTGCAAGAACCAATACAATAGTCTATCTCTTTTTTGCTGAGTAGTATTTCCCAATAATGTATACCACAATATGTTGATCCATTTACCTCTTGATGGGCATTTGGGTTATTTCCACTTTCTGGCAAAGCTGCTATAAACATTAATGTAACAAGTCTTTCCAAGGACATATTGCTTTCATTTCTTTGAAGACTATACCTAGGAGTAGAATGGCTGAATTATATGGTAGGTGTATGTTTAAAGTTTCAAGAAACTGCTAACCACTATTTTTCAAAGTGGTGTTGTCATTTTTACATTGTCAC